CCCCGGCCTGGCCCGCACGAGGCCCAGCGGCCCGAGACTGCAGGGTGGGGGCGTGAGTGACAATCAGCCGGATGACCCGGAGACCCCCCCTCCTAGCGCTTCCAGGGCGCGCCTGCGAACCTACACTCAGAGCGCGCAAGAGGTGAGGTCACGAGCTGGGGTGACTTGTAAACAGTGTTCAAACAATGAACCCCACTGTCAGGCCGGATTGCCCAAGACACACAAGAGTCTCGCTGCGCCTGCCCACCTGTCCCCCAGCCCGCCAAGGACCTGCTGCAGCTGGTGTCAGCTCTCTCCAGATTAGCAAATAAACACACTTAAAACCCAGGCGTACTTTGTTCATTGCTCGCCCGCTGCCTACCAGGCTTACTGGTTAATCTTTTCCTGACCTCCACTGTCTGCGCCCTGGGGCTGCCTTCAAGGCTGGAGGGACCTGCCAGGTCACTGTTACCATCTCGAGGGATGTCTAAGTGGGGAGTATTGAGGAGGGGACAGGTATAGGGGGGCCCTGGTATATTCCTCCCAGGTCTAGGGAGGGGTGGTCTGGGTGGCTTGCTAGCTACCCCTACCATCTCACCCCTGTTTTTTATTCACGTTTTCCCCCCTCAGCTGTTTCTACTGAAAATACTTGATGTTTAGTTCACGTACACTAATTACAGCCTTCCAGGGGTGCTAACTCTACTGTGCTGAGCTGTAGCTTCTCCAGTCTCCTGAACCCACTGTCCCCAGAGGTGCCTCTCTAAGCTTTCATGTTGCTGCTGTACCTCGATCCCATAATTGCTGTCATTATTAGGTGCCATTGAGTGGTTAGGACTAGTAGTGACCCAGGAACAACAGAAAGACACCTTGCCCTGTCCTGCACCATCCTGACACGCTACCCTGTCCTTAAGTCCATTGCTGCAGTCACTGTCCATTTTGCCGAGACTTCCTTTCACTACTGGCCCAGGACGATGTCTTTTTCCAAGGGCTGCTACCTCTTCACAACAGGCCCTGAGTGAGAGGACGTTTCACCATCCTTAACTCCAAGGAGCACCCTGGTTGCACTTTCCCCAAGACAGATTCATTTGTTCTTTTGGCCGTCCTCAGGATATTCAATACTTTTCATCAACATCAACGTCAAAATTCACACTGGGAGACAGGTGGGCAGGTGCAGCGAGACTTTTGTGTGTCTTGGGCAATCCGGCCTGACACTGGGATTCATAGAATTCGAGATTCTATGAACTTCAGTATTCATTGTCCAACTTCATATGCATATAAAGCAATTGAACACTATCGTGGCTTGGTATTTCCCCATAAAGATAGTTGGTGTGACTCCTTAGAGATAATTATGGTTGTTGTTGGGTGCTGGGAAGTTGAGTATGACTCCCAATGACCCTCTGAACAATAGATCTGAACCCTGTCCTGTCCTGTGCGGTCATGTCTCTGGCATACTTAACCCACTGCTGCCCTTAGAGTCAGTCCATCTCATTAAGGGTCTTCTTCGATTTCTCTGACTCCAGCTTTCCAAGCATGATGCTTATTTCCTCTTCTAGGAATATGTCCAAAGTATATGAGAAGAACTTCGCTGTCCTTGCCTCTGAGGAGCAATCTGGCTGCATTTGGGATAGTTATTAAAAGAGCCTAATTACTTCACCGAAGACGACATTCAGATGGCTAACAAACACATGAAGAAATGCTCAAAATCCCTAGCCCTAAGAGAGATGCAAATTAAAACAACTATGAGA